TTTCTGCGGAGGACTTAAAGACGAAAACATCACTTTTCGAAAACAGGACTTACCTCGGTCTGATGAGAGGTGCACTTTGGGACAAGGTCGCGACGACGGTGGTTCATATGGTCGATCAGCTGATTGACTAGGAAGCTGGGCGGGAGTGCGGAGATGCCGCCCCTCGGCACCGGGATCGTCTCCCGGCAGATCGGGCAGCGGAACGATCCGGTGTCCAACGACTGAGGCAAATCGGCGATCGCCTCAAGACACGTCGAGCATACGGTATGCGAGCAGTTGAGCAGCTTCGGCTTGCGATGCTCGTCATCGAAGGGGCACAGACATGTCGAGCATGTCAAGAACGACTCGCTAAAATCTTCGATGTCGATGCTGACAATTTCCGTGAGCGTAGTCGGTGCCAGCATCCCATCGACTAATTGACTGCAGGCAATCCTCCACTTTTAAACTAATCTTCAGCGTGTGGCCAGTTCATTCACGACAAGACATCTGAAACCAACAACCAATAAAGGCACTATTAAAAAAGGCACAGTGACGGTACATCACACTAACATGGCATACAACCATTTTTCTTTTCTACTGTGACTTATGCCAAATTCAGACATTTTTATTCAGAAGTCATGACGAGCTATAAAATCGTACTGTAGCCTAAGTGGATGCATTACAAAGCATAACCATTCTTCGGCAGTCCACATTATGTTACCTCTTATCTGTTCACGGTTGGTAGCGATGAAGCACAGAGTGATAGATTACTTGCTCAACGGAGTTAGCAGTCAACAAGAAGAGTCTTTACGCATTGTTCTTCACATCTCAAAAATACAAAGCAAATGACAAAAACCTAAAAGCACATATGCGTATTCCCCATATCGATGTCGTTGTACAGCAGCTGACTGCGAAGGCTGGTTTCCAATTGTCACTTGGACGGTCTGAGTAAATACTTTTAAGCTCAAAGACCCAAAACATAATATAACTAAAAAACAGCAGTAACCACAAGAAACAAATAAACACAAGAGATGAACGAATGCACAATCTGTAGAAGCGTTCTGCCGAGATCTAAGCAATGTCGCCATGCTCGAAAGCAGGCAACGGCAAATGTTAAAGAGTGCTGAGCATCTAGAAGCATAATCGAGTACGTTGATATCATTCCAAAGATTCAACAACGTTCCCGTATAAAACCCTCCACTTTTACTTCAAATCTCTTCTTAAGTTCAGCCTACGAACGTGGGAAGGGAACACGGACACAGCGAAACCGATCAAAGCCTCATCTTCAACATCTTCTAACTTCAAACGGAGAACATAGGTCAGAGAATACAGAACCATTTTGATCCACTTGAAAATTCACCACCTGGCCCAAACTAGCTAGGCCGCTGGTTCAAACCAAATGCCATCATTTAATTCATAAGATAACAAATACTTTTTGCAATTCAGAAACTAATCGCTTTAACGTATAAACTCATTCAGCTGATCCTTAGTAAATCAGATGGAGTCAGGCAAGAATGCCATTTCTCTCCCCAAGCTATGATTCTACGTATTTCAGCCGCTTTGCAAGATCGCTGGCAGCTTAAGATGATGACAAAACAGCTACAACTATAATGCAATATACAAAATATAAAATAAAATATAATCCAGATGTCATCGGTTATCCACTACGAACAGAAACTTTCCAATCCCGATCGCAAATAAATATTACTGATACCGGAAAACAACTAAAGCATTTTCCTGATTTGTTTTTTCCCTGTAATTTAATAGAAAATCTCTGAAATATCTTCAGAGGTTGCTAACAGTCACTTCCAGAGGATTTTCTGAACGGAAGAACATCACTCAGTGCTGCTGAACATGGAGTCGCTTGATCAACACAATTACTATTGGCAGTGTGATATTTGATGCAGAAAAGCAATGCAAAAAACAGTTAAGAAAGGACTTGATAAAAATTTTCTACGTCTTGCACGTCGCGTGATGAATGGTGTACTACAAATAATAGTTTTTGAACGGCAAAAGTACTTTCTGAATGGCAAAAGTACTTTTTATAAAAGAAGCGAACATCGTTGAAGGATAAGAAAAAAACCAGCTCTATCAACAAACTCCAGTCACCAACATAATAGTTCCTACTCCCACGCTTGGAGTTTCATGCGGCAGTACTTGCGGAACAGAAGCATTAAGCGCATGAAAACAATGAAACAACATTTTTTGGCAGTGGCCTGAAGTTCCATAGTCCCCTTAGGCACTTACAGCAAATCAAAGAAAACGTATAAAATATGCTTAATATTTAGTAAAGTTATAAATATTCGGTAATAAATGAGCAGCATAACGAAACACACCACCTCGCAATTGGGAAGGATAAACAGACTAATCAGGTGACACAAGTGGAATCGAAAAGTGGGAAAAATTTTCAGTGAAAAATAGAAACTTTAAACTGAATTTACCATCACATCGCTTCCTCCATCAGCAATTAAGTTCTCGTCCAGTTCAAAGTTATAGCACGAAAGCGGTAATTTGCTAGCCCGGTGCAGAGGCAGGTAAATGCTACAGTACTCAAACAAAAGATCATAAAGTACAACGTAAAAGCGCTACCTTATATGAAGTGTTAACCCTAGTTATGCGTACCGTCTGTTTTGCGTTTAAATTTCATCCGATCAGTTTTTCAAGCGATCACATCTCTAAACACATATCAGACCTGGAAAAAAATAATTATAAAATATATGATCGTACGTGATGCAAGAAAAACAACGGCTAACCGGATGAATAAATCCGAAGAACATCAACATGTTACAGTCCAAGCTTATTACATCTATCGCAATTCACTCCATCGTAGGAGAGAGTCGCCATCCAAACCATTCTGTCCTCAGATCACTCCGCTGTATGCCATCCAAAGCACGTCGCTGACGGTTGATAATATTCCGTAGCACTGTCACTTTTTATGAGAAAGGACCGACATATCGCATCGTGTCACATAATTGCGACAACGGTGCACAACCAGTGAAATGAAACATGTTGCGAATGAATCAATGACACAAGTAACGAGCGATTATACTTAAAAAAAGGTAAGAGCAGAAAACATTCTTGAAAATCCGGTTAATATGATGTGTAGTATGCACTATTATATGTTTTCTGAAACGAGATATCTATGTATGTCAGTCTCTTTTCGAACTGTGGTAACGGCATGAAGAAAAAGGTTCTAGAAAAATAACTCGGATGCAAAATATTTTCCGACACAACAGTTACATGCATTAAATTATCAACAACAACAACCTACATACGATCAAGTCTTTCTTATTAGTGTGATGCAGGTCAGATATATTTGTATCGAATCGCATTTAAGCAATGAAAAAGAATATCAACAGACATATTTGTACACTGCAAGCTTCGCAAGCGTTAAACTGAACGCGGTAAAGCCGCGAAGAACACTGTCGTAACTGGACTGATGTGCGACAATCATGATATAAACAAAATGATAGGCATTTTTTGCTGTTGTTTAGTACTATTCATGGAATACTACAATGCTTGCTATTGCTTACTTCAAAAGGAATAAAAATTCGTACAGAACGGGTTCAAGCACATTGATCATCACGTCATATGAATATACACCTGTAAACTTTTCCTTTAAGTCAATCCATGTCTGTCAGTCAATTCATTCAGTTCATAAGTACTTTTTATTTTTACGATACCTTTTTATTCTTTCGAGTTTCTTGCAATCAAAATGATGTAAAATCGTGACATGACCTTACGGAATTTGGATTTGTAGCATTATCGAAATTGGGTGTTCTGTAATTGTGTTGCTGAATGTGTGCTGTATTTCTTGGGTTGTTTCCTAGTTCACCAGATTACATATCTCTTTATGCTATAGTGACAGCAAAGTACTCTTTCACCGTATTTGACCATAAAACTGTGCTAGATTGGAGCTGTATGCTTATGACACATCGCTATATCGTTATTTGCATACTCTTGCACGCTGGTTGTCGCAGTTTTAGGGTACTGCTTAATTTCGTCGATTTTTTTGTATTTAATCACAAAAAGTTCTCAGGTAGTAGTGCACTATTTTGGTATATTGTTGATCGTCCCATTAAGGACAATGAGTTGCATGTACGCGTGCATTCGTAACTTCCCGTTCACCGCGTTCGGCGTTTCAAAAGCGGTGGGGGGTTGAATGAGGCTGGAAGCTCGTCTCCCAGTATCGAATGTGCTCATTGATCTTAAATTGATTATGTATGATATTTTCTGATGTTTTCGTAATCCCCCAAATTCTGAGTGACCCCTGCGGGAAAAACGGAGAGTCTTGATGATCGACCATTGAATACCAAGCGTCGCTTGCACCGTAGTACTTTCTCATTCTTTCGTTGCTGAACTGATTTTTAGGCCAGTAGATCCCGCATTTGGTTTTAGTTCATGGTTTTTTATACGGAGACGACTCAAAGACGTTAGCTGACCTTTAGTGAAAACTTGAGGTGTTTGGAAGATTCATGGTTCAGGACACCAAATCCAACAGAAGGTAGAACATTTCCTCTTAGTTTTTTCTACATAAATCGTGGCTTGATTATGGCAAGCTTGTTGACCGTCAATTGTAATAATGGGCACACAATGTGCTAAGACAAAAATCGCCATCCACGAAGTTATTCAATTTTATTTTGCTTTACGTTTGTAACTGCCATGCTGTGTACCTTCCATACTTTCTGAATAAGGTACTTGCGAGTTGACTGGTAGATTTTGCGGTAAATTTTTTTTGAGTTATTTTGTTGAAGATGCTTAATATGTTAAGATTCTTGATCACAACAGATTATAGGAATCACTTTTGAAGTAGCTCATTATTTCTATGCGAAAGATGCCACTTACTGCTCTGACCAAAAGCAACAGTAGCATCCGCGTGGTGATGAAAAAATGATGATCACAGTTTTTCGCTAGAGAACCGTTTACAGGTGACTCTAAACTTTGTGCGAGTTCCGTATTCTGACATACAGACATTGTATTCGTTGAACGTCCTTCAAAATTGTCCAGTAGATGATTGATCGAAAAACAGCAAATTCTGCACCACAATACTCCTTTAAAACATGACACATTTCAGCATCATGGACCTTTGCATTCTCTTTCACCATTCTGGCTAGCCTAGACAGGGTCACCGTAAAAAGCGGTGCGGTAAGCGAAATGTTGGACTGGAAAAATGACTATCAATCACCCAATTCCCTTATTGTTTGGAACATTTTGTGCAACGAAAAGAACCAGACTACGTGGAAGGCGATTGTTGATATGATGTTATATATGTACAGAATATCATTCAAAAGAACGGGCATTCACTGGAGGTCTGCAGTCGTTTTGTGTAGAATACAATGGTACAGTGCAAAAAGAATTGTCCTACTCAGCAACATGGAATGTTCAGATATTATTAGAGAGCTTGTAGTCGTTCTGTTATGTATAT